GAGGCAAAATTACAAAATCCCAAAGGTAGGATGGAGTTTGAGAGGGTGGGAGCAGAGTGGCAGAAGGCAACCCACCAATGATGGGGCGGGCTGGCGGGGGAACATGAAGCAGCCTGGAGCCTGCTGAGCGGAAGGAGCAGGCAGGTTGGTAGAGGGTTAGAAGGTAGCAGAGGTAGGGGGGGGACCAAGGCCATGGAGGACTTTGAAGGTGAGGACCAGGATCTTGAACTGTATCCTCTGTGTGATGGGAAGCTAGTGGAGTCGGGCAAGGAAGTGGGTGATAGGGTCACGGAGACTGGTGCGGGAGATGACACGGGCTGCAAAGTTCTGGATGATCTGCAGCTCATGGAGGGAGAAGTTTGGGAGGTTGGTAACCAGGGAGTTTGCATAGTCAAACCTGGATGTTATGAATGCGTGTATGAGGGTTTCAGCAGCCTACGGTGTGAGCCAGTGGCGGAGCCGGGTGATGTTGCCAAGGCGGGGGAAGGCAGAGCGGGTTATGGCACAGATGAGGGGTAGAAAGGATAGTTGAGAGTCATACAAGATGCCATGGTTCTGGACTGGCTCAGTAAGGCTTTGGAGTGTGTATCCTTGCATGGTGATGGTCAGCGCCTGAGGTGTGGGGGCCTGGAGGTGAAACCGTTTGTGGAGATGAAGTGGAGACAGTGCGAACTCTTGGTCTCTCTGACTAAGTGAGAGACTGGTGTACAATTCAACCGTTCGTTAAATCTGTCCTTAGAAGGCGAGAGACTGAAACTCCAGCTCAGAGAAAAAACAGCTGTTTTAATCTGATAAGATAGTCAGACCTGTTCCTGCTACAGCGCCTTGGGACGTCCTCCCGACGTGAAAGGCGCTCTATAAATGGAATCTTGTTGTTGTTGCTTGAAGTGGGAAAGTATTATAAAAACAGAAGTTGCTGGTCAGAGAGGAAAAGTGAGAGAGAGGAAAGTGAGTTAACGTTTCAGGTGGATGACTTTTCGTCAGACCTTTTAGGTCATCGACCTGAAACGTTAACTCACTTTCCTCTCTTCGTGGATTCTGCCTGACCTGCTGTGTGTTTCCAGCGACTTCTGCTTTTATTTCAGATTTCCAGTATCTGCAGTATTTTGCCTTATGGAAAAGTATTATATTGTTTGTTTTATTCAGGGATGACTAAATTGCAGCACGGTGAACACATTACAATAGTCACACGATCCACAAGTTGGCCATCCCTGGTTTTAGGCATCATACCTATACTGTGTCTGTAAAATAAGAAAACATTTTAAATCTTTATTCGTCTGCCAATTTCTCTGTTGCTACAGAGAGTAAAAACAGGTATTTTAGCTTCCCCCAAAAGGCAGGGGTTCAATAGAGACTGTGGCCAAATTTGCAAGAATGTGTGTCATAGTAGTGTGCCTTGTTAATCACACACAGTTAGCAAGATATGTCAGTGTGTTGATTGGTCTAGATCTGTCCAAAAGAGACAAGATCATAACAATTCAATTGGGCCGTCAAAAATCATTGCGCACTTGTTAGGTTACATACTAAGAGCCAGCAAGAAATCATGGGTCATGGGAAAAGATCACATTTCAGCAAATTTCATTGCCCCACCCGAATAGGACACAACAAGCACGGGTAAAATCACACAGACATTTTCAGTCCAGTAACTCATCAGATGCTTCCATTGTTCACACAAGCCTGGACAGTGTGCAGGAATAATTTAACTGTTAAGTATCATGCTGACTCTCGCTCAAAATCCATTCAGATTTGCTGGAGCGAATGGACAGAGAACATGGACTGCTGCTTTTCCTTCTCCTACTTCTCTCCTCTTCCCTTCTCGCTTCTTCTTCCTTCCCCCCCCCCCCACCTTCTAACCACTCCTTTCCTGCCAACTCTATCTGCCTCTTTCCTCCTCTCCTTTCCGCCCCGCTTCATGTCTACCCCCTCCTCCACCAAATAAATTCATATTTTTATAGAACCTTTACATTAGGAGGAAGTCCCAAAGCATTGGACAGTGCACCTCAGATGGGGGTGGGAGCTGAGAGGGTTGGGGGCCAGGAAGGATGACCAAAGGCACAATCAAATAGGAAGGTCTTGAGGAGGACCTTGAAGAAGGAAAGGGACAAGTTGCAAATCCAGGATGGGGGCAGATAGGCTAAAGGCCCAACAATGCCATTAGGGCAGGTAAGACTAGAGATCAAAACTTCTCCAATGTAGAAGAAATTTTATAGCACATGATCATCAAGCTGATGCGGTTTACGTAAATTACTGTCAAGTGCAACAAGATAAATATTATATAAACGTAGCATCACAAAACATACAGAAAACATACAAACACTACAGTTCACAGTATATCTTGTGAACGCTGATACATCCTCTTGATGTGAAACGCACTATACCAAATGAAAGGATTATAAATAATAAATTTCTTCTTTGATTACACAGTGTGTACGTAATCTCTTTCAGTTGCTGTTTTACCAAATGGCTTATATTCTCAACAACATCTTGCACTTCTATATCACCCTTCATGTAGAACAACATATTGTGAGTGCTTCACAAGAACTGGGTCAGAACAACAACATACATTTATATAGCGTTCCTCACAGAGAGTAGGGTCTCAGGTGATGGTGTGGACCTTGAATTTAATCTATTGGGAGACAGTAGAGCCTAGTGCAATCTCAGTAGTATCCATCTTACTTTTAATCATAGCAAACTTAACTTCTCACTTTACAAGCATGACCCAAGAGTTAATCAAAAGTTAAATTACTGTTTCAGTGAATTATTTACACAACTATTTTACAAAATCGCACAATACTAATTGACAGCTCACAAGAGAATTATACATAGAGAAATTGTTCCCTTTTACTGATTAATATGATGATCTATGGCTCTGTAACTTATCTGTGCACGTCCATTCCGACCTCAAATCACATTCATGGAAGTAGAACAAGGAACTCAAATCTGAATTGCTTTCCCACAGGCACAGAATTTATGGCAAAACTACCTTTGCCTTTGGTACCAACTGATGTCAATCAATTAAATAGCTCATATTTACTCATTGCAAAAGTATTCAGTCATTTCACTTTACAGTATATTCTGTGAAGCGCTTTGAGTATATCTCGAAGCAGTGATAAGGCGCTATATCAAATGCAAGTATTATTATTACTACGGAAATATGCTTAGACTTGCGACCAGTTCATTGCAATCGCTATAAATTGTATGCAAATTCTGTAGCACGAGTGCATAACAAGTGCAACATTGAGAATAAATTACCCTTGAATACATTCCCAAGCTATCATCAGTTATATATCTTCACTTTTCTCCTCTCCCTCATTTGCTTTTCTGTTCAAATTTTGGCATTGTAATTTTCACCTTCCAATACCATTTTCAGTATATCTACTCTAGTTGCCAAGTTTTTGCCCGTGCATGATATGAAGGAAGATCTTACAAAACCAACACCAGTTAATGACTACTAGAATCACTTTGCAGGTATTAAACTCTTATTATTAAACTCTTTTGATGCATGTATGATGTATTCAGTTCTTCTTGAAAAATGAGACATCATGTAGCCTTTAGCTTTTATCAATGTAAAAAGTATATCTTGATGCTAAAGATCCTCAGTCACAATCAGATCACTAAACTTGAAAATATATACTTTTTGGAGTATTGTAATGATATTACCATTTGGTCAAAAAAAATAGAAATACTTTTGCATATAGGCAGCAGAACAGCTTGTTGAAGCATAGGCACATAGTGCACTGAACAGATAAAACAAATTCAACTCTTCCACTCTACTGGATTTCAGGCTCAGCTATATTGCTGTGGAAAGGTACTGAGAATATGCCCCAAAGCCAAAAAGTTATGCCAGGTCAATGCTGTGCCCCTCCTGGGTGAAACGTAGAGTGACACTGAAAGAAACTGGGAGCAGTTTGCCTAACTAGTTGCAAGATGTGCATAGTTCAGTAAGACTTGCAATAAGAAAGAAAGAAAAGCAATTTCATCTTCTTATAAAAGTGCTGTCTGGGTAAATTATTTTTGAATTACCACAAAGCTCAATACTGAACTTTGAAAGTCTCATGGATTTCTTTAAATAGAATTCATTAAATTCATCAAATATTTGTCCATTTCCCTTTCAAATGCTATTTATGTACTCACTTCCAACAGAAATTTGCGGCAAAGCAGTTCACATTGTAATATTCTTCAGTGTAACCTGAATTCAGTTAAACCAACAGTCAATTGTGAATAATAACGACAACAGCAAAACAAAATTACATTTGTACAGCGCCTTTCGGGTCGGGAGGACGTCCCACGGCGCTGGACAAAACAAACAGCATTCTAGTCGACAGCTTTTCTTTTAAAAGAATTTCAATCTACTAATGCAATAACGTAATAAATCATCAACACGCTTAAAAACATACAGATGAGTCGTCGGGAAAGGTAATTTACTCTGGAATGGGAAAAGGTCATCCTAAAATATGAACCACTGGGGCTGTAACCTGCGCCGGTGCCCCCCAATGGCAATCGTCCAATCTTTGGTACGGGGCAGCGAGCAGATGAAATCAGACCGGAACAGCGACGGCACACGTCAAAACGACCCCAAACGCTTCATAAATGAACACAAGTGAATCGATAACACAGTGGGGGGGGAGCGGCGGATTTCGACGGCGCAAACAACACCCTTCCAAGTTTCCATGTGCCCGGAGGCAGACGGTGCTGGAAGCGTCAAACCGGGGACGGGCCTCACGTTACTTTTTTTACACACACACACACACACACACACACGACGATGGCGTTGAAAAAATGAGGAAGAAAAAGCAGGAGGTCGAGGGGGGGGAGGGGGGGGGGGGGTAGGTGATGGCAATAGTACTGCACGGACGGGTTTGAATGCTCAACTGCTCCACTTTACCGCTGACCTATCTCTCGTCTCGGTCTCTCCCTCCTCAGTAAACTGTGTCCCTTCAACCGACGAGGTTTCCCCTCACCCCGCACAGGGCCTGCCCGCGCCCACCGCTCTCGCTTACCTCTAGTCTCTTTTTTTTTTAAAACTTTAAGCTCCTCGCAAATCGCTCGCGGCAGCGTCCGCGACAAGGTCTCAGCCCCGAACCCAAACTTTTCCTTCACCGGATAAATTTGACAGCATTTCCTGCTTCATTGCGGGACGCCATTTTAGTCACCGTCCGCCTCGACGTCATCGCGCGCATCACGTGCGCAGGCCTGGCCCAATGGCCGGCCGCGCTGGCTGACGTAACGCTCGGCCCCCGCGCGCCGGCGCCGGTTGCTGGAAGCTTCCACCTCCCGGACCGCGGGGGGTGGGCGGAAGCCACGTGACTGCGGCGCACGCGTACACGCACGTTGTGCCGACTGGGGAGCGGCGCCGCCATCTTTGTTGCGGGTGTCAGGGCTGGAACCGAACCCGACCGGTGTCGTCGCTTCACAGAGCACAACAACAACAACAGCAGCAGCAACAGCAACATTACGTGTGTAACAGCGCCTCTCACGTCGGGAGGACGTCCCAAGGCGATGGGCAGTCAGGGATTTGGAGCCCGAGCTGAGGATCAGGGAGGGCGGAGGGCAGGGAGGGCGGCCGAAGGCAGAGCGGGTCACGGCGCGGGTGTGGGGTAGGAAGGACGGTTGAGGGTCAAACCCATGTCAAGGTGCTGGGCTGCCTCGGTGAGGCGGAGCGCGCGTCCCTGAATGTGGATACCCTCAGTGCTTGAGGGGTGAGGGCGCCAACTGGAGCCATTTTGATATCTCTCGTCAAGTCAAGTCAGTCAGAGGCCGTGAGAGGACTGCACCGTTGTTCCAGACGCGGTAGTGTAGTCGTGTAGTAGTTGTAGCACTCACAAGCGAGAGGGCCTGAGTTCGATTCCCAGGCAGGGCAAAATGTCGGGCAAGTTTCCTTACTCCACACTCCCTGCTTACCAAGCAGTAAGTAGGTATCTGGGTTGTTAGTCGATTGGTGGATCGCTTTTCCGGGGATAATAATCCCTTCCAAAATTTAAAATTTCCATGACTCTTTGTGGGACACTGCTGCGTGCAATTGGCTGTCACGTTTCACCCACAAGATATACAGTCGATTCACTTCACAGTATATTCTGCAAAGCGCTTTGAGGCGTATGGAAGGCGTAAGGCCCTGTATCAAATGCAACAATAGTATTATTATAATGACAGTATATATGAACAGATATTATTACGGCAGCAATTGAGGAATGACGTGTGCTTAGTGCAGTTAAGCGGTCACATCAGTGAAGTTATCCAACTCTGTATTTATGTACAGTGATATTATCTGGCAATAATAATTGTAGAGAATCCTATCATTTCCTACTTTATATTTCTTTACATTGCTTTATATTTCTTGTAGCTCATAAAGCAATAAATCAAGTGTATCAGACTGGCTCAATGCCTCATATTCGCCTCTGAGTCAGAAGGTTGTGGATTCAAGCCCCACATCAGGATTCAAACTCGCATTGTCTTAGCTGACACTCCAGTGCACTGCGAGGGGTGTGTTGCATTGTCGGAGGTGCCGTCCTTCAGATGAGATGATAAACCAAGGTTCCGTCTGCCTATTCCGGTGTACATTAAAGATCCCATGGAACTATTTGAAAAGAGAATGGAGTTTCTCCCAGTGTCATGGCCAACAATTCCTCAAATAAAATTGGTCATTCAATTCATGTCTGTTTGTGGGGCATTGCTGTGCGTAATTGGGCTGCCGCATTTGCCAACAAATACACAGTCGCTCCATTTCACAGTAAATCCTGTAAAGCAGTTTGGGACATCCTGCTGCCATCAAAGGTGCTATCAACAAGAACAACAACAACAAACAAAAAACAAATTGCATTTATATAGAGCCTGTCACATCAGGAGGATTTTCCAAGGCGCTGGGCAGTCAAGGGTTTCCATCCGAGCTGGGGGTTGGAATCAAGACTAGTAGAGGGCAAGGGGTGGGGGTGGGAGGATAACCGAAGGCACAGTCAAAGAGGAAGGTTTTGAGATGGAAGGGATAAATCGAAGGAACTCACTATGTGAGTCACCCATCCTGCCGAGCAGGATGGGTGACATGGAGCAGGCCAGTGCCTGCCAAGTGGAGGGAGGAGGCAGGTTGGTGAGATTTTAGCAGGTCGCAGAGTTAGGGAGGGGAAAGACCATGGAAGGCTTTCAAAGTGAGGACGAGAATGTTGAACCCAGTTCTCTGGGGGATGGGGAGCCAGGGGAGGCAGGCAAGAACAGGGCTGATAGGCTCACAGAGTTTGGGGTTGAAGAGGGCATGAGATACAGAGTTCTGAATAATCTGCAGCTCATGGAGGGAAGAGTTGGAAAATTCAGCGAGCAGGAAGATAGCATAATCAAGCCTGGATGTCGTGAATGTATGGATGAGGGTCTCAGTGGCTTGAGTGGATTGGCAGAGGCGAACAGAGTGGTGCAGGTGAAGAGAGGACTACAACAAATGCAAGGATTCTTATTATTAAGACTGAACCTGACACAGTAATTTGTTTAATATTAAGTGATAATCTCCACCCTCTTTAATTTTCTTTTTGCTGAATGTTGGATTTCTCATTTCAATTTACCTTTTTGTCAAATTTAAATTTTTTTGCCTTTGCAAAATACAGTCCAAAGGAAAAATTAAGGTAAGAAATTGTTTCCTGTGTAAATATCAGCATCAATTTTAAAAGATTTTCACCAAAACCTTCTGCCCAGTTATTCAGCTTCTATAATATATTTTGCATCCAATTTTGTTTTTATTTCAATATCATCAAGGACTGGACCGTGCCTTCAGCTCCCCTCTCGACTCTCTACCCCCTCCTCGCTCCCTTCCTTCCCTCCCCTCCCCTCCCCTGACCATTTCCCCCCTGCTCAGGTCCCGACCCAACTGTCCAGCGCCTTGGGACATCCTCCCGACGTGAAAGACGCTCTATAAATGCAATCTTGTTGTTGTAGAGCTTTTCTCTCTGGAGATTAGACAATTGAAAAGGGACCTGTTATATTATAAAAGGATTTGTTAGGGTGGCTATGAACGATGCGAATTGTTCATGAATGTGTTCATGAGTCCAAAACAATATAAAACAGCTGGTAGCAGATCTGAAAAGGAGTTTAGAAGGAACTTCGTTATACAGAAGATGGTAAGAACTTGGAACTCACTGTCAGAAACTAATTGAAGCAAAAAATATCAATGTATTTAAGAGAAAACATGATGCATGTATGGGAGAAGGGAAGAGAGGTTTTTTTTTGGTGGGCTGTTTCCTGTTTTTGATTCTATATACAGGGTGACCAAAAGATTGTGATAACTATCCAAATCATAATTTATTTAAGACTTGTTAGACATTGTAATGGTATCACAACTTTTTGGTTACCCTGTAATTCTCTGTAATCATAATTGTAATTTTTTGGACTTTTGGTGATATGCTAGAGAGAACATGAATGAAAACACTGCAGAGGACCAGGTGCAATCCTTGTATGCACCTGAAAGAGATGCATAGATCAAAACTATAGGAGATTGATAATAACAACGACAACAAGATTACATTGTATAGCGCCTTTCACATCGGGAGGATGTCACAAGGCGCTGGATAGTGTACTGGATTTCAGACCTGAGCTGGGGTCAAGGAGGGAGGAGGGAGGGGAGGGAAAAGGGGGTAACCAATGGTATGGTCAAAGAGAGGGTTTTGAGGTGGGACTTGAAGGAGGCTAAGAAGGGGGCGAGGCAGAGTGACTGAGGATGGAATTCCAGAGGTTGGGAGCAGAGTGGCTGAAGGCTCTCCTGCCAATGGATAAGACTTAAACCCAAAGGTGCTGTCATCATCATTACCGGGTTGCTTGTTTTAGTAGTAAAAGATGGCTGATACAGATTGCATAGCTCTGTTTGAAGGAGCATGGAGTTCACCCATTGTCTGAGCCAATATTCCTGCCCCATCCAAGTTCATTAGAAACACATTCAATTGCCATTGATCTCATTACTCTTTGTGACATTCTTCTGAAGGCAGATTAGCTGCCATATTTGCCTTCCCAGCAGGTTACTGAAGTTCACAAAATAACTCATAGGATGAAGCACTTTGAAATAGACTGCTATGTCAAATGAAAATATATATATTTGTATTTGTCTTGTAGCTATGACATGCAATTTCCATGTAGTACCACTTTGTTTTTAAATAAACAACCTATAAGACGTGAAATGATGTGATCTTCAGTACAGTATTTGCAAATTCTGTGTAATAAGCTTAATCTACTTTTTGGCACGTCCCAGCCACTCACACAGAATTGGGTCAAAAGCAAAAGGGCGAAAACTGTTGTATAAGACCTAATCAGAGAGACTATGTAATTGTTCTTCCCTCCACATGACCAGAACTGGAACATATGTGCTGCAGAGGAATCTTGCGTTAAAAACAAACATCACATAAACACATGATGTAACCATCAAACAGCTGAAAAACTATTAAAACAGAATATCTAATTTGATCCGTTACAAAGTCACAGAATTAAATGTACCATCACATCTCCCAATGTTTTTATTGCATAAACATTATGGATCCAAGATCCTTCAATCCAAATTCCCAAACCAAGTAAAAATGTTCCCCAATTATTTAATCCTGAATTCTAATTTAATCAATCATCTATTAAACTTAAAATAAGTATTTCACTCACAAAATACAGTCAATCCACTTTACAGTATATTGTGAAGTGCTTTGAGGTGTCTCAAGGTGATAAGGTGCTATATGAAATGCAAGGGTGTGGAAACCCATCACCATGATTAAGGGTATCCAAAACAAACTGAGAATTCCATGTATCCTACCTCTCTCTGGAGGATGCCTTGCCCACTCTCTCCCTTTTCAAGTCCCGCCTGAAATCTTTCCTTTTCAACAGTGCCTATAGCCACCTCCACCCAGAGGGCTGAGATGTCATTTGAATTTAAAGTGAATAAATTTGCAGGTTGGATTAAACATGTATAAGTGGATAATAAGACTTCATCTAGTATGGACTGAATTCTAAACAATACTTTCAGATACTCCAGAAGGACAAAAGCTGCAGAGTTTAACATCAAGAGTTCAGGGTTCCAACAGGTGATATTTCAGCAGACAACAGGAAATATTTCTTTACACAAAGGTGTTAGCTTGGCTGAGTTGGCAGCACTCTCATCTCTTGGTTAAGATATTGTTTCAAGCCCCATACGGAATCTGAGCTCACAGTCCAGCCAGGCAGAAGGTATCGTTGAAGGTGCTGTCCTTTAGGTGAGATGTTAAACCAAGGTCCTGTGTGTCTGTTCTTCCAGTGGATGTTAAGATCCCAAGACATCATTCAAAACAAAATCTTTTCTCAGTGTCTTTACCAACAATCCTCCAGATAATCATTTTATAATTACTTTATTTTCAGAGGTCTTTCCAATGTCCTGGCACACAATGCTCCAAATAAAATTGGTTATTTACTTTATGACAGTTTGTGGGACATTGCTTTGTGGAAATTGTTTCCTGCGTTTGCCTACAAAATAGGCGCTACACTTTATAGATTATCCTTTATAAATTTTTCCAACGCCCTGCTTGTTGGCCTTCACAACTCTTCACTCCACAAGCTGAGATCATCCAGAACTCTGCAGCTTGTGTCCTCTCCCAGGCTCTGTGACCCCATCACACCCACTCTCACCCGGCTCCACTGGCTCCCCATCCCTCAGAAGTTCAAGTTCAAAATTCTCGTCCACACTTTCAAGGCCCTCCATGGCCTTGTCCCCTCCTATCTCTCCGACTTGTCCCCTCCTGTCTCTCTGACTCCCCTTATCAATCTGTCCACTCAAACAGGCACCAGCCTGCTCCCTGACCCTGCCTGACGTAACCCACCATTGGTGGTCAGGCCTTCAGCCTCTCTGCCCCCAACCTCTGGAACTCTATCCCACATTCCCTTACCCTCGCTCCCTTCCTTGTCTCCTTCCAGGTCTACTTCAAGACCCTCCTCTTTGACCATGCCTTCAGCCACCCTCTCTACCCTTCACCCTCCCTGATCCCAACCCCCTTCCCCGCTCGGGTCCTAATTGCTGACTGTTCAGCACTTTGGGACGTCCTCCTGACTTGAAAGGTGCTTTACAAATGTAATTTTGTATTGTATTGTATCCTGTGAAGCGCTTTGAGACATCCTCCTAATGCGAAAGGCACTAAAACAACAACAACAACTTTTATTTATGTAGTGCTGTTCATTTAGGATAGCATCTTGGAACACTGAACAATGGTGGCGTTTGATATCAAGCTGGAGAGAAAGGTTAGATGATTGCAGGCAGAGTCAAAGAGGAAATTCTTCAGGTGCGATTTGCAGATGGGTAAAGAGGGGACAGGGTGGAGGGATGAGGCAGGGAGTTCTGAAGGAGCATTGTGGCTGAAGGCAAGGCTGTCAATGTTGGAGCGGAAGGGTCAAGCATCGCGCAGAAGGCGCGAGCCTGCCGAGTGAAGGGGGAAGATAAAAGAGTGGTCATTAAATGTAAGGATTATTATTATTGTTATGGTTGTTTGTGAGTAAAATGTTTGCCTACAAATACGCAGTTAATACATTTGCTAGCAATTACCTGTAAAGTGAATTAACACTTAAAGTTACGGGCATTTCATTTGTATCTCTCTTATGATGTAAGAAGGCAGGATTTTTGTGAAGTTTGGGGGATCAGTGAGTATTAATGCAGCATATTCTCTCAGGAGCTGAAATGGTTTGGTTGGGTAAATTCTACAATGTAGTGGATTGTATACCAATCCAAAGGCAGAGCACATAAAGGCTAATATTGATTTGTTTGCTCTTTTCATTGTTTAATTTCCACAGCTTCTCATTGTGCATTTCCAAATTTCTTGCTGACATTACCGGTCTCACCAGTGATTAAGCAATTCTGTGCTATTGTAACAAATTCACCAAAGTATCTTATGATTTGAGAAGTAAAATCTCTAAACCGGTTTTCTGTTGCCAGGATGGACTGAATTAAATCAATTCAGTTCTTAATACCATTTAAATTACCGTATCACTTGGCCATTTGTCAATTAACCTGGTCAGGCCAATGAAATGTCCCTTTAATTCTCCATGAATTTAGCAATGCTGTTTAATCTGACTCTACATTTAGATTTTATAGCCAGGAAAGTGCAACTAATTTGGGGAGATGCTGATTTGGGTCACTGGTGTCCACATTGCAGACATCTCTCCTTTTTTCTCTGGTTTTATTGGCAATCTTCTGTGCTCCCGAACTTCTAGCTAATAATATTTACGTGTACCCTATGTTGTACCTTCTATTACAAATCATCATACTCTTTCATATTGTTGAAAGAACTATTCTATTACTACATATTGCAAACTAAACATCACAGAATGATGGCAATATCTGTTGACAGCTTTTAAACTCCAAAACTTTGCCTTGCGTACATGAATAAAACTGAACTACAAACTCCAACCTTAAAACAATAAAACAAGAACCCGTATTAGTTTACAAGTAACTGCAATTTAAGTAGTGCCTCAAGCTACCCAAACCAATCATTAAAAACGGTTAATTTACATATATCCCTTTTTCAAGAAATAGGTTTTAGAAATTATAACCATCTGACCTATTTTCTGTGGGAAGTGCATAGTTGCTTAATTTTTGTGTCAAAGGAAGTTACATATAGCAGACTCACTGCAAGGTAATTAAACATGCAGTGAAGGCAAAGAGATTGTGGAATCAGAGAAGAAGGCCAAGATCTTATAACTAGCAATAAGTATATAAACAGTAATAAATTGGTCATTTTCAATCTACGACTGTTTGTGGGACATTGCTGTGCGCAATTGGCTGCCGCGTTCGCCCACAAATATACAGTCGATTCACTTTACAGTGTGTTCTGTGAAGCGCTTTGGGACGTCCTCCCGACGTGAAAAGCGCTATATCAAATGCAAGGATTATTATTATTATTATTATAATAATAATTATTATTATAGCAATAAGATGTATATGCACTCCATAGAGGGCATAGCGCTTGTCAGAGAAGCTGAAAGAAATCTTTGTAATTTGCTATTTAAAGAGTGTGGTGTTGCAATAAACAAAAAGAATAAGCCGCGGCCTTATAACCAGCAATAATGGTCAAGTATTCTGGTTGGGCTGCACCTTGAGAACTGTAGGTAATCATAATCACTGTGACGTACAGAGCCCCAGAGGCAATAGAGGAGTGCAATCAAACTGATGATTATAACAATATTTCTTGCTTTCGATACCAGGAGACGCTCTCTTTTTAAACTGACGGCTACTTGAACAGACAGACCCTCTGATCTGACATCTCATCTGATGAACGGCACTTCCAACCACGTAGTGCCGTACAGAGAGAGAGAGGGGGGGGTCTGGGGGGAGAGAGGAGGAGGCGGCACTACGCTTGCGCGGCCCTAACAGTACGTCATTCGGGTGCGGAGCTCTCGCGCTGGAGAGAATGCGCATGACGTCCCCTCTCCCTCCCTCCCTCCCTCAACGTGCTCGCTCGCGCGCGCGCGCGTGCGTGCGTGTGCGTGCGAGCGAGCGTCGCGCGCTGGGGAACGGGAGAGGAGCGACGCGCGTTTGTGCGTACGTGCGAAGGAGAGTGTGTGTGTGTGTGTGTGTACGTACGTACGTACGTGAGGAACAATAAAGGGTCACGTACGTCCGTACGTTCATTCGCGGGCCGGAGGCGGCGGCGGGTGGGAGTGACTGTTTGACACTCGACGGCCTGAGTGAGAGGAGGAGGAGGCCCTGAGGTTCTTATATATGAATAAATATATATATATATATATATAAAACAACGCCACAGCTCCTCACGGCCGTCATAGTATTTGCTTTTGTACAAATATCCCTTTTATGTTTTGGATTTTTTTTTAAAAAAAAGGAAATTAATCTCAGGTGTTCTTGAGGGAAAGCGAGAGAGAGAGAGAGAGAGAGGGATAGGAGTTGAGTGATCTGCCGACCTCTCCTCTCCTCTCTCCTCCACCCCGCGGCCTCGCAACGACACCCCGTCTATGAACTCTACCTCCATGTGGATTCCAAGCCTTTCCCTTCCCCACCATGGCGAGAAAAATAGTTAGCAGAAAGAGAAAGGCTGCGGAACTAGAGCCGGAGCAGGTAAGCGAAGGGCAGGGCCCAGGCGGACCCGCCGCCGCGCCCGTTTCTTTTGGAGCCGCGTTGCGTAACTGAAGGGGTCGCGGGGTCTGGGGCTAAGGCCGGGGCCGGGGCCACCGTGTGGGGAACCGCTTGTGCCAATTCCGGCATCGTCACCCATCGGCCCCAACTCCTCACCCCCTGTTGTTTGTACCCCCATAGACGGTTATTTGTTAATTTATTATCATCTCTGGCCTTCAAGGCACATCTCAAGACTCTGCTCTTCGACCGTGGCTTCGGCCACCCTCCTGCCCCTACCCTCCCTACCCTCCTGCCCTCCTACCCCTACCCTCCCTGCCCTCCTACCTCCTGCCCCTACCCTCCCTGCCCTCCTACCCCTACCCTCCCTGCCCTCCTACCCCTACCCTCCCTGCCCTCCCGCCCCTACCCTCCCTGCCCTCCCGCCCCTACCCTCCCTGCCCTCCTACCTCCTGCCCCTACCCTCCCTGCCCTCCTACCCCTACCCTCCCTGCCCTCCTACCCCTACCCTCCCTGCCCTCCTGCCCCTACCCTCCCTGCCCTCCCGCCCCTACCCTCCCTGCCCTCCTACCCCTACCCTCCCTGCCCTCCTACCCTCCCTACCCTCCCTGCCCTCCTGCCCCTACCCTCCCTGCCCTCCTACCCTCCCTACCCTCCCTGCCCTCCTACCCTCCCTACCCTCCCTGCCCTCCTGCCCGTACCCTCCCGCCCCTGCCCTCCTGCCCCTCCCGCCCCTGCCCTCCTGCCCCTACCCTCCCTGCCCTCCTGCCCCTACCCTCCCTGCCCTCCTGCCCCTACCCTCCCTGCCCTCCCGCCCCTACCCTCCCTGCCCTCCCGCCCCTACCCTCCCTGCCCTCCCGCCCCTACCCTCCCGCCCCTACCCTCCCTGCCCTCCCGCCCCTACCCTCCCTGCCCTCCCGCCCCTACCCTCCCTGCCCTCCCGCCCCTACCCTCCCTGCCCTCCCTACCCTCCCTGCCCTCCCACCCCCTGCCCTCCCACCCCCTGCCCTCCCACCCCCTGCCCTCCTTGTCCTCCCTGCCCTCCACCCTTCCTGATCCCAACAACAAGTTGCATTTATAGAGCGCCCTTCACGCGGGGTAACGTCCTGGAGCGCTTGACAGTGGCCGTGTCGAGAGAGGGAGGTGACCGTAAGCGCAATCAGCTCCTAAGCCCCCAGCGCGTGTCCAAATCCCTGACTGTCCAGCGCCTTGGGACATCCTCCCGGTGTGAAAGGTACCATATAAATGTAATTTGTTGTTAACAAAAACTCAAGCTGTACTGTATTGAGGTCAAGTAATTTTATTTATTAAATGCTCTCGTTTTCAAGTTTCTCTCTAAATCAACAGAACTGGGTCGTTTTTTAGAATAAATAAGGCACGAACAGTATGGCCCCAGACCCGAGGTGGTGTGTGTGTATGAGAGGGGGTGGGGTGGGAGACTGGTCTGCATATTTTATTTGCTTCCTAATCTTTCCCTCATAAACAACATTGTATGTAAAATATTTTAAGGGTGTACAAGTTAAGAATGGTAAGCTCTTGCAAAGGACAAGACGTTTTGAGATTTACTTGTGTTTAGTTATTCTAATTCAGAAATAGTTATGTGACATTTACCAGTTTTTTTTATATAAGCACCGATCTATAGTCTTCCCCTTATAAGAATACTGTTGGTACATTTCAGTTGGACTTGTAAAAGGCATAGTAAATAGGGGATTAGTTTAGTCTTTTGTTCCATGTTAAAAATGTATAAACTGTCAAAAAAAAATTAAAACAATGTTGAACTTGTTTTTCAGTTCATATTATTCTCCCATGTTTGGGAACCATAGTAAAAAAAACAAGTCTAAAAGCAGAACATTTAATTTTGTTTTTAAATTGTTAAGAGTTTGAAAGATTGTCAAACTGACATGCATATGCTTATGCCTTATTTACCATAAAGTTGGTAAAGGTCTTGTTATTGCTAGATATTGGCACAAGTGCTCTTGTCTAAGTAATAGTGCTCTGGATTAGGCAAACCTTAGCATTAGTAATCTAGTTATCTGGTTGTGGAACTGTTTGGTGTCAATACGTTACAGTATTATAAACATTGGATTGTTATTGGTCATAACTTTTTCTGTTCAAAACGTCGTACGTTTTAAACTGAAATTGTTGTTTTTAAATTTGTAGCCGAAAGGAAAATCAGTTGAAATTACTTTGTGACGTCAGTCTTGGATTGTGATGTCGAGCTCTAGTGACAATATGATGTTTCTTTCCATTAGTACCTTCCCTGGACTACAAAGAATATGACCTTTGATAAATATTTGGGCAACTGAGGGTGACTCTTAACTCGCAAGAGAAAAGTCCATAAATAAAATGTAACAACATTACATTAACTTCATGTGGCTTCAGTCAAATTTTAATTAGTTCCTTGACCTGCTTTTTAGGGATGATATAATAATAATAATCCTTGCATTTGATATAGCGCTTTTCACATCTTCTAGACGTCTCAAAGTGCTTCACAGAATAGACTGTAAAGTGAATTGACTGTATATTTGTGGGCAAATTGCAGCAGCCAATTGCGCACAGCAGTGTCCAACAAACAGTCGTGGATTTAAATTACCCATTTATTATTTGTTTGAGGGATTATTATCATTATATGATTATGAATAGAGCTTTGAATCTAACAGTGCTAAGCAAGTAATGATTTGTGATAAAAGAGTTGTGTATTAACAGCTTTAAAATTTTCCTGTAAAGCTGCACAAGGGTGAGGAATTTGACCCATTTGATCTTAACTTTCTAAAATAACAACTCTTTCCATTACAACCCCGAGTTCTCTAAATGAGGCCAATGTCTCACCTTACTTGATAACCTGTTTCAGTTGCTAATTACGCTTGATGGAAATATTTCCTTATATCTGCCGTGAAATTGACAATCCGGATATATCCATACAGGACAAATAAAGACCCATTAGCCTCGCCTTAATGGAATCAGTCATTAGAAGCATGAAAAGAACCTAGGAATTAACCGCCAACATGGTTTCAGTGGGGGTAGCTGTAGAGAGCTCCAGTCGGGCCTCGCCTGCTGATCTGGTCGCTTCTCCCTTTTTCCTACAATTTTTATAATTCTTTCTTATTTTCTTAATCTGTGAAGACCTATAGCATAGTAGTTGATGCTGTCGCCTTGCAAGCGAGAGGACTTGGGTTTGATTCCCAAGTGGGACGACAACAACAAGATTACATTTGTATAGCGCCTTTCACGTCGGGAGGATGTCCCAAGGCGCTGGACGGTGCACAGCATTTCAGACCCGAGCTGGGGTCAGGGGAGAGAAGGGAGGGAAAGTGGGATGGCCGATGGTTGAAGAGGAGGGTCTTGAGGCGGGACTTGAAGGAGGTTAAGGAAGGGGCGAGGCGGAGTGACTGGGGGCTGGAATTCCAGAGGTTGTGGCAGAGTGGCTGAAGCCTCTCCCACCAATGGTGGGGCGGGTGGGTCGGGGGACGTGGAGCAGGCCAGAGCCGGCTGAGCGGAGGGAACGGGCGGGTTGATAGGGGGTTAGGAGGTCGCAGACGTAGGGTGCAACGAGGCCATGGAGGGCTTTGTATGTGAGCACCAGGATCTTGAACTGGATCCCCTGAAGGATAGGGAGCCAATGGAGTCGGGCGACAATGGAGGAGATGGGGTCACGGAGTTTGTGAGGGAGAGGAGAGGGGCTGCAGAGTTCTGGATTATCTGCAGCCTGTGGAGGGAGGAGTTGGGAAGGCCGACAAGCAGGGCGTTTGCATAGTGGAGCCTGGAGGTGATGAAGGTATGAACAAGAGTTTCAGCGGCCTGAGGGGTGAGGTAGTGGCGGAGTCGAGCGACTTTAAGGAGGTGAGGGAAGGCAGAGCGGGTCATGGCTTGGATGTGGGGAAGAAAAGACAGTTGAACAAGACACCGAGGTTCCTGACTGGCTTGGTGAGTTGATGTGTGCAACCATGGAGGTTGATGCTGCCAGACCCTGAGGTGCTGAGGCGCTGGCGCGAGCCAATCAGGAGGGCCTCAGTCTTGTTCACATTCGACTGTAGAAAATTCCCCCCCAAAGGTGGTCACTCAATCAACGACTGTTTGTGGGACCCGCTGTGTACAATAGGCTCCCTTGTTTCGCTCATAAAATGCACAGCCAACCATTTTACAATATATTCTGTGAAGCGTTTTGAGAGGTTTCAGTGACATGATAAGGCGCTGTACCAAATGCAAGGATTATTTATTATGATAATCTCGTTTATTTTTTCTGTTGAACTGTTTTGGAGCTTTTTTCAAATTTTTAAATTTGCACCTGCAACACCTGTCTTGTTTGCTCCACATAATGTTTTTGAAAGATGTCTTTATCCTCAACTGATTCAACCTTAAGTAGTACCTCCAGATCTGTCACAAGAAGCTCAGCCCTCTTAATCCCTGATCTTTGCCCTTCTAAAATTGTGTATTGCTCTCTGCTGGCAGTCTCCCTCCTCATCCCACTCCCCTTCAAAACCACTGTCATCACTCAACTCTTCAAAAAACCCACCCTTGATCCCTCTAACTTGCAAATTAACGACCCATTTCTAACTTGCCTTTCCTTGCTATATTTCTGGAACGCATTGTTGCAAATCAACTTTGCTCACACCTCCATTCCCTACTCCAGATCCTCCAGTCCGGTTTCCTCCCTGCCCACAGCACAGAGCCTGCGCTCATCAAAGTCACAAATAGTGTCCTCTCTCCCTCTGCTTCCTTGTCCTCCTGGACCTCTGTGTTAGACACAGTCGATCATGTCATCCTCCTCCACCATGTGGAGTCCTGTAGCTCAGTGGTTAGAGCACTCGCTTTGCAAGTGAGAGACCTGAGTTCAATTCCAGGCAGAGGGCGAAACCTTGGGCAAGTTTCCTTCTCCACACAGAGCCTAATAATAATCCCTCCAAAACCAAAAACAATAATAAATTGGTTATTTTCAATCTACGACTGTTTGTGGGACATTGCTGTGCGCAATTGGCTGCCGCGTTCGTCCACAAATATACAGTCAATTCACTTTACAGTGTGTTCTGTGAAGCGCTTTGGGACGTCCTCCCGACGTGAAAAGCGCTATATCAAATGCAAGGATTATTATTATTATTATCTTTCCTCTCTTACCCACCTCAGCGGGACCACACTTTCCTCGTTTGAGTCCTATTTAACCAATAGCCATCACTATATTCAGAAATGTTTTTTCCTCTCCACCCTCGGTCACTTGTGGCATACCCCAAGGTTCCTTCCTTGGCCCAGTTTTCTTTATTTACATGCTCCCTCTTGCCGATGTCATCCCAGACAGCAGGTCAACTTCAACATGTATGTGGATGACACCCAAATCTACTTCTCCTCCTATAGCTGCAACTTCAGATCCACTGATGTTCTGTCAACTTGTTTGTCAGACATCAAGGCTTGGGTGAGCACAAACTTTCTGCAGCTGAATGTCAACAAGGCAGAAGTATTTGGCTCCCATCAACATCTTCTCTCCTGCTGCTCTGACCTCCTCAATTTCCCCGATCTATCCTTAAGGCTTACTGAACCTGATCAGGTTTGATCCCCAGCTGGCTCTATCTCTCTGCCTCCACCCTTGACTCAAGGACCACTGCTGTCCTGATAGAATGTCTCTCAGACATCAAGTCCTGGATGAGAACTAACTTTCTACAGTTGAATGTCAACAAGACCGAGGCTCTCCTGATTGGCTCCCATCAGTGCCTCCACACCTCAGTCACGGGCAGCATCAGGATGCACGCTGTATCTCACTAAGTCAGTCCAGAACCTTGGTGTCTTGTTTGACCCTCAACTATCCTTTCTACCCCCCACATCCGTGCCATGACCCGCTCTGCCTTCCCCACCTCCACAACATTGCTCGGCTCCGCCACTGCCTCACACCTCAGGCCACTGAAACCCGCGTTTAACACATCTAGGCTCGACTACTTCAATTCCTTGCTTTGTCGGTCATCCCAACCCTTCCCTCCATTAGCTGCAAATCATCCAGAACTCTGTAGCTCGTGTCCTCTCCCACATCAGGCTCCATGACCCCATCACCCTCGCCCGGCTCCACTGGCTTCCCGATAGAATTCAAAATTCTCACCCTAGTCTTCAAAGCCCCCATCGGTGGTCGGGCCTTTAGCCTTTCTGCCCCCACCCTATGGAAGTCCATCCCACCTTCCCTTCGCCTTGCTCCCTCCCTTGCCTCCTTCAAGGCGAGTCTCAAAACCCTCCTCTTTGACCGAGCCTTCGGCCACCCTCCCCAATCCTGGCCCCCTGCTCAGGGTCCAAATCCCTGACTGTCCAACGCCTTGGGACGTCCTCCTGATGTGAAAGGCGCTATACAAATGTAATTTTGTATTGTAATAACATTAATAATAATCCTTGCATTTCATATGGCATTTTATCACGTCAAGATACGTCAAATACTGTCAAGTGAATTGACTGTATGTTGTGGGCAAAATGTGGGCTAATTGTGCACAGCAGTGTTCCATAAACACTTGTGGATTGAGTGACCAAACGCACAACCTTGAGAAGATCGGGGTCCTCACCTCGGCATTCCCAATTTCTGCTGTCTCCCACCGTGCCTTCAACTCCCCTCTCGACTCTCTACCCCCTCCTCGCTCTTTCCCTTCCCTCACCCTGACTATTTCCTCCCTGCTCGGGTCCCGACCCAACTGTCCAGCGCCTTGGGACGTCCTCCCGATGTGAAAGGCGCTCTATAAATGCAATCATGTTGTTGTTGTGTTGATTTAAGTTCCCAGTGACACTTACCTTTTTCTCACAAATCCTTCTAATATTTTCAAAGTACAAGTGACTGTATTTTTCTAGACAAATGCAGCAGTCATGAATTGAATGACTTTGGCCTAGTGGTCTGTAGCAAACCCCAAAAGTTGTTCTGCTCCTTTTCTCGTTGAGCACATCTAACCCGAGAATTTAATGCTATGGCTGATACTGCAAAACTAGCTCAATGCTGAGCCAGGAGTCCTTTACACATAAGGAAATCCCTCCCTTCCTATATTTACTTTGATTATCCTGCTTTAGTCATGTCTTTGGATGAAGTCCTTTGGGTGGAGCCCTGTAGCTCAGTGGTTAGAGCACTCACTTTGAAAGTGAGAGACCTGGGTTTGATTCCTGGCAGGGCAAAATGTTGTGCAAGTTTCCTTACTCAGCTCGTCTTTGTTTATCTAGCAGTAAGTAGGAACCCGGTTGTTAGTTGATTGGCAGATCGCTTTTCCGGGGGTAATATTTCCTTAAAAAAAACAATAAATTGGTCACTCAATCTGCGACTGTTTGTGGGACACTGCTGCGCGCAATTGGCTACCCTGTTTCGACCACAAAATATAGTCAATTCACTTTACAGTATATTCTGTGAAACAGTTTGAGATGTCTCAAAGACATGATAAAGTGCTATATCAAATACAAGGATGATTATTTATTTATGAACAAATATATTGTGAAACTGTATGATATTTTTATCAGTGAAGATTAATTACAGGTATATTCATGATGTCTCCAAAGTAGAAGCACATAAAGGCAGATTCACTCCCATTTAAAAGTATCAATGAGAAATATTTGTGAGCTTCAATGACCAAGTTTCTTAACTGAAAGGATGCATTTTTTAAAAAAGTATTCAATTAAATTTGGAAAATGTAATTGCTTGATATGTTTTCAGGACTTAACTTTGACAGTCATCTTTCTGTGACTATCATCCAATCTCCTGTCATTGAACTGAAATCTGTCAATTTTCAGTTTAAATGTTTATACTTTTGTTGATTTTTGGATCCTTTCATATTTGTGTGAAAAAGAGAACAAAATGTTCTGTGACTTGGAATTTGAAATTGCTGGTCCTAGTGAGAACTGTAACATTTTGGGCAACAATTTTATAGTCGGATACAAAGCACATTTACAGTATTGTGCATATTAAAATTATAGATTTTCTCTTCAAACTCTATATTGATTCATTTATCATCTTTCCCTTCTTTTCTGCACGTGTTTCTTCACATCCCTGTCCTACCTGCCCCAATTTTGGCGGTTGGGCTTTCAACCTATGTGCCAGCACTCTCTAGAAATCAACCCTGGGTTCCCTAAGAACTTGTCCCATCAAAGACCGCCTCAGGACCTTATTCTTTGACTGCCCCTTCGGTCATCTTTGGGGTGAGATGACTGAGGGTTCATTCAGTGGGAGATTTTTGGAAGCAGATAGGAAGGTTGCTGCAAAATAAAAGATTTAGGGAGGGAATTCTAGCGAGTGGGGGCAAGATGACTAAAGGCTTACTTGCTGATGATGGGGAACTCCTAGCCTGGTGTTTATGCTGTTTGTTCTTATAATAATAATCATCATTTGATATGGTGCTTTATCAAGTCTTCGCAACGTCTCAAAATGCTTCGCAGAATATACTGTCAAATGAAATGCGAAGCCATCCACCTAGATAGCAAAAGCAGTAGAGCGGGTTATTTTTTTTAGAAGGGGAGAGATTAGAATGTGTGAGCGTCCAGAGGGACTTGGGTGTCCATGTACACCAATCACAGAAAGTTAGTCTAAGGTGCAGCAGCAATTAGGAAGGCAAACAGTATGTTAGCATTCATTATAAAAGGATTAGAGTATAAGAGTAGGGAAGTCTTGCTGCAACTGTATAGGGCTCTGGTGAGACCACACCTGGAATACTGTGTGCAGTTTTGGTCTCCTTATTTAAGGAAGGATGTACTTGCCTTGGAGGGGGTGCAGCATAGATTTACTAGGTTAGTACCAGGGATGAAGGGGATGAGTTACGAGGATAGGCTGACCAATTTGGACCTATATTCTCTAGAGTATAGAAGAATTAGAGGGGATCTTACAGAAACCTATAAGATCATCAAAGGGCATGATAGAGTAGATAGTGGGAGATTGTTTCCCCTGGTTGGAGAAACTAAAACCAGGGGTCACAACCTTAAAATCAGAGGTCAGCCCTTTTGCCCTGAGTTGAGGAAGAACTTCTTCACTCAAAGGGCGGTGAATGTATGGAACTCGCTACCCCAAAGTGTTGAACATATTCAAGACTGAGATAGATATGTTTCTTATTGCAAAAGGGATTAAGGGATATGGGGATAAGGCAGGGTTATGGTATTAGCTGGAGTTAGATTAGATTAGCCATGATTGAATGGCGGGGCAGGCTCGAAGGGACGAATGGCCTACTCCTGCTCCTATATGTTATGTTAACTGAATTGACTGTAGTTTGTGGGCAAAACTACTTGTTCTTGATGTTTCTGTTCTCACAGTTTTGAGTTTTTAAAATATTTTTAAGGTAAGTATTCTACTCATTCTTTATATTGCATTGTAACTTGCAAAACATGAATAAAAGTATATGCGAATGCGAATCAGCACTTTCAGGGAGATTTTGGGGGCTGGGGATGTATGTAAAAATATGCTATTCAAATGTGTTGAAGTTTTTGAAATATACAGGTGGTAGGAATTGATACAAGGTTGGAAAGTGGCTCACCTTGAGTGAGTAAACAAAGCTGCTCCCTCCTGTAGAAGTGGATGCTTAGCTATGTTGTCTCAGTCCAGTTTAAAACTCATGCTGTATTTTCATGGCTCATTATTTCCACCAAAATACTCAATGTTGTGGCTTTTGGTTTCTCTTCTCTCTAATTCTGGTATTAATGGTGCACATAGGTAGTTGCAACCACCAGGAAGGTGGAAGGTGAACTAGATGGACTTTGGTCTTTTTTTCGTCAAGCTGATCTTATGTTCATTGTATACATTGCTGTCACTGAGCTGTTGACATATGGACTGAACACTGAGCTGTAATCACAATCTGGTCACTTTATGTTCCAAAAAACTTATGAGCAGAGTTGCAAGATGAGGAGCTAAATATATTACTTGGTATTTGATTAAATAATTTGAGTATCTCAAAAAGGAAAGTGTTTTTTATTAAATATGAATAGCACAATACTAAATACACCTTTCTACATTTATATTACAAATCACCTTAACACTTCAGTGCCTTGGGATGTCCTCCTGACGTGAAAAGTGCTATAAAACATAATTTCTTGTTCTCACAAGTACTAACCGCTTTTCACCTTTTAGAGCATAACCCCTAAATATGCATGCACACACAATGAGGCACAAATTGTAAAATTCTAATTCAGTTGCAAAATGAATTGTTTATTGTCTTGATTTGTTTAATGTATAATACTTGAGAGCTACTTAAAATAAATACCTCGGTGGTAATCTGAGATTGCTAGTGCTGTGAATTTATTTCATTTACACTGCAAGGTGGCATATATAGGTGGCAGCAATACAGGAAAAAAAATACAAATGAGCGAACTATGCACAATTTCCAATGCCATGGTGGCTCAGTGTTCTGGCTGTGGATTTTTCCTACTGCGTGGGGAAGTTGTATACGGTTCATCAAAGCAAAATTCTTGAGTCGTAGAGAGGCTGACTGCCAGAGGCAACAAGTCATTTTTTTTTTAGCAACGGTGCACGAAACTGCAAAATAAGATTTTAGGTATTTGTAACCAAATGCATTCATTATGTGGCGGAAAAGAATTGTACTAACATGCTGGCAGTACATGGTGGAAGCAGTAAAGAAGGTTTGACCTAAGGAAATGAACAGTACAGGAGTAAAATGCACGGGGGAAGAATGGAAAAAAAATTACAACAACAAATTACACTTGTGTAGCACCCCTCACATCGGAAACATGTCCCAGGCAATGCATCAAATTCAAACAATAATGTATTCATAGAACTTTATATTTGTACAGTTACTATTGAAAATTCTGAAAGGCATCTGGGTTATATGAAACTAATAATAGGTGGGGATTATATGAAAATCAATAAAATACAATACAAAATTACATATGTATTGTGCCTTTCACATCGGGAGGACATGCTAAGGCCCTTCATTAATGCACAAAGTGAATTCAATAATATACAATTCATAAGCAGCACCTGCAAAGGTAAATACGATTTAGTTATATTGAAGTATCGATGTTATTACTTTATGGCTCTTGCAAAATCATTGATATCTACAGCATTGAGAGGATTTGTTTGTAACAGAGGGGAAATTACTTTCACTTTGTTCTGGTAGCATAGCATTGTCCATATTTCATGGTGCTATCAGGAGGCAACATCATTTGCTCTGTTCTACAATATCCAGCCCTTACTAAAGTCCATGTTAGACAACCGTACTCAACAAGGCACTACAAAGGTACTTGTCAACAACAACAACAAGATTCCATTTATAAAGCGCCTTTCACGTCAGGAGGACGTCCCAAGGCGCTGCACAGTTGGATCATGACCCGAGCAGGGGGGAAATGGTCAGGGGGAGGGAAGGGAGGGAGCGAGGAGGGGGAAATGGTCAGGGTGAGGGAAGGGAGGGAGCAAGGAGGGGGAAATGGTCAGGGTGAGGGAGGGAAGGGAGGGAGCGAGGAGGGGGAAGAGAGTCGAGAGGGGAGCTGAAGGCACGGTCAAAGAGAAAGGTTTTGAGACCGGCCTTGAAGGAGGAAAGGGAGGAAGCAAGGCGAAGGCACTGGGGGATGGAGTTCCAGAGCCTGGGGGCTGAGAGGCTGAAGGCCCGACCACCGATGGTAGGGCGGTTGGGGCGGGGGACGTGGAGCAGACCAGAGCCAGAGGAACGGAGGGTACGGGCAGGTAGGTAGGGGGATAGTAGGTTGGAGAGGTAGGAGGGAGCAAGGCCGTGAATGGCCTTGTAGGTGAGGATGAGGATCTTGAAATCAATCCTCTGGGGGATGGGGAGCCAGTGGAGGCGAGCGAGGTGGGAGTGATGTGGTCCCGAAGCCTGGTGCGGGACAGTACACGAGCTGCAGAGTTCTGAATGACCTGCAGCTTGTGGAGGGAGGTGGCGGGAAGGCCGGCGAGGAGAGAGTTCCCATAGTCCAGCCTTGAGGTGACAAAGGCGTGGACCAGGGTTTCAGCAGCGTGAGGGGTGAGGTAGTCCTGAGGGAGAGGGGTGAGGTATCTCCTGCTGGAGATGCAGCTATCTAATGAAATGTTGCGTAAATCTTTTTGGGACTCTTAGTTCAGACAAATAAAGTCTGTGTGGAGTTAGCACAGCCATTCATTAACACCATTCATTGTAAACATGATCATTGACCAGGACCTGCTGGCAGTGGTGGCAGAATGTGGTCAACTAACCTTG